GGCGGGTCGGGTCGGGCGGGCGGGACATTAAAGTATGTTGCGTAATCGAGTGGGCACGCGAGTGCCCTAACGGGCGGGGCAGGGTCGGGTCGGGCGGGTGGACCCTAACGGGCGGGTCGGGTCGGGCGGGCGGACCCTAACAGGCGGGTCGGATCGGGCGGGCGGGACAGTAAAGTATGTTGCGTCATCGAGTGGGCACGCGAGTACCCGGGCGGACCCTAAGGGGCGGGTCGGGTCGGGCGGGCGGGCGGACCCTCGCGGGCGGGGCGGGTCGGGCGGGCGGGACATTAAGTATGGTGCGTGATCGAGTGGGCGCGCGAGTGCCCTAACGGGCGGGCCGGGTCGGGTCGGGTCGGGCGGGCGGACCCTAACGGGCGGGTCGGGTCGGGCGGGCGGACCCTAACGGGCGGGTCGGGTCGGGCGGGCGGGGCACAGTAAAGTATGTTGCGTAATCGAGTGGGCACGCGAGTACCCTCACTGGCGGGACGGGTCGGGTCGGGCGGGCGGACCCTAAAGGGCGGGTCGGGTCAGGCGGGCGGACCCTCGCGGGCGGGTCGGGTCGGGCGGTCCGGACGTTAAAGTAGGTGGCGTAATCGAGTGGGCACGCGAGTACCCTAACGGGCGGGACGGGGCGGGTCGGGCGGGCGGACCTTAACGGGCGGGTCGGGTCGTGCGGGCGCCGCCCGCCGCCCGACGCCCGACCGCCCGGCGCCCGCCGCCCGCCGCCTGGTTCCGACCCGCCCGGTTCCGCCCCGCCCGAGTCCGACCCGCCCGGTTTGGACCCGCCTAGAGAGCGCTGCCGCATGGGACATCGCGACGGCGGAACAGGGCCAGCGGAACAGGGCCGGCGGAACTCGGAACAGGGCCGGTAGGAACAGGGCCTGGTCGGAACAGGGCCGGCTGGAACAGGGCCGGCGGAAGAGGGCTTGGTCGGAACAGGGCCGGTTCCGTAATGATAACAATGATGGTAATAATATTAGGACAGATAATAACATACAAATAATACTCATAAGCGTAAGAATCGTAATATGAAGAAGAGGAAGCCGACGCAGCGGCGACCCCGGCTGGCTTTCGAGGGGGGCTCGGGGGCGCTCCTCGCTCAGCGAGGCGGCCTCTCGGAGGAGCTCCGGGTCTCTGTCTTCGGTTTCGGGCCCGGGGAGGCCAGGTGCGGACCCTGGGTCGGGGGCGGGAAACCGCTCATGAATTGATCCCGGAAGGGTCCAGAGACCGAAGGCCGACGCCGACGACGACGACGACGACGACGACGGCGACGGCGGCGGCGACGACGGCGACGACGACGACGACGACGACGACGGTGACGACGCCAGCCTCCTCCACGCGACGTGAGGTCGGCGGATACAACCGCTCAGGAGGGACCCCAGCGTGTGCCCAGGGACCGATTTTCAGCAGACCTGGTGGGCTCGCGCCGCGTGGACGCGACGGCGACCTCCGACGTGGGCGGTCCCAAGGCTGAGCGCCGCCAGTGGCCCAGAGCGGCACGACATCGAGCGGTCTGCGCTATCGGAGAGCAGCGGTCGTTCGAGGGTGAGCGATCCACGCGTTGCCGTAAGCCAGCCCGCATGCCGTCACGGTACGGACCTGCCGCATCTCAATTTCTCTCTCTAGTGAGCCTCACGCGCGCAGAGGTCGCCGCGGACTCATTCCTTGACGAGTGCTGGGCGATCTTCAAGAGGTAACCCGCGGGAGGATTGATGATGATGACGATGATGATGATGATGATGAGGATGATGATGATGATGATGATACTGATGATGAATATGATGACGACGACGATGATGATGATGATGATGATGATGATGATGATGATGATGATGATGATGATGATGATGGTGGTGGTGATGATGATGATGATGATGATGATGTTGATGATGATGATGATGATGATGAAGATGATGATGATGATGATGATGATGATGATGATGATGATGACTGGCTCTGAATGGTGGGTGGTGAGTGGTTGATGGTTGTGATGGATGATGGGTGGCGGTTGATGGGGTGATTGTGACGGATGATGGGTCGTGGATGATGGACGATGTTGTGATGATGATCATGTCGGTGATGATGATGCACATGGTGGTGATGGTGGTGATGATGATGGTGATAACGAGGGGAAGGTGGAGGAGGAGGGGAAGGAGGAGGAGGAGGCAGGAGGAGTAGGAGGGAGGAGGGATGAGGCGTACTGATAATCAGACGTGGTAGTCTACTGACGAGAAGACAACCGCCACACAATAAGACGAGGATGATGCTGAAGATGATGATGCTGATGCTGATGCTGATGCTACTGATGGTCATGCGCCTGCTGCTGCTGCTGATGATGATATGTTTTATGATGACGACGACGATGATGATGGCGACGACTGCGATGACGATGGCGATAGTGATGTTGATGATGATGTTGATGCTGATTATGATGCTGATGCTGATTGTGATGTAATGGTGGTGGTGATCGTGGTGGCGATGACGATGACGATGACGATACTGATTATGATGATGATGATGATGATGATGATGATGATGATGCTATTGCCATTATTCATTCTTTTGATGTTGTCACTGATGATGATGCTGATGATGCCGATCATGATGATGCTGCTGATGATGACGATGACGATGAGGACGACGATGATGACGACGATGAAGAGGATGAGGATGACGACAATGGTGATTGTGATGGCAATGCTGATGATGCTGATGATGATGCTGATGATGGTGATGATGATGATGCTGCTGCTGATGACGATGACGATGAGGACGACGATGATGACGACGATGAAGAGGATGAGGATGACGACAATGGTGATTGTGATGGCAATGCTGATGATGCTGATGATGATGCTGATGATGGTGATGATGGTGATGCTGCTGCTGATGATGCTGATGATATTGATGGTACTGATGCTGATGATGCTTGTGGTGAAGGGTCTGAACGTTATGAGCACGATGATGAAGATACTGATAACAATGATGAGTACTGATGATGCAGAGACTGATGATGATGACGATGATGCTGATGCTGATGATGATGCTGCTGATTATGATGAACTTGATACTACTGCTGATACTACGGATGACGCTGATGATGGTGATGCTGATTATGCTGATGATGATGCTGCTGATGACAATGATGATGATGATGGTGATGGTGATTGTGATGATGCTGATGATGGTCATGGTGATGGTCCTGGTCATGGTGATGGTGACGGTGATGCTCGTGATGCTGCTGCTAATGATGGTGATGATGCTGAGGATGAGGATGGGGATGCGGATGAGGATGCTGATGGCAATCATGACGATGCTGATAATGCGGATGCTGATGAAGATTAAGAGGATGTTGATGGTGATATTGCTGATGATGACGATGTTGATACTGATGATGCTGCTGATGATGCTGATGATGACG